CGGGGTTGCTCTCAACGTCTCCAAAGAGCATGGACACTTTTTTCACTAATTGGGACAGAGTACGAAAGATAACAGGTAGGCTCACAATATTACCCTGCGGTAGAAAAGGGGTATTTGAAGGTGTCCATCAAGGGCGGGGGGCGGGGGGGGGGGGGGGGTGTGCGTTAAATATTTGCTAGTATATTGAGTGGTGTGTTGTTTTATTCGTATATTTGATCCGTACATATTTGATCCGCGTATTACTGTGTAGTTTTATTTATAATAAAGAAAATTTCTTTGACCCAAGCTATCTTTTTTGAGAATGCCAATGGTGCTGACGTTGAAAGAAGCATTCAACTTGATTTGACTTGAAGCAATAAAACTTTGTTTCAAATTTACTGATAATAAACCTAATGTTTTCTTCTGCATTTTCTCTAGTTTTACTCTGCTCTTGTGTAGAAGGAATCAGACAATAGTGGCGTACTCAATAATTCGGCGTGTCTGCGTTTTAAAAGCAAACCGCTTTTGAAAAGCAGGCGATTTGGCAATAACCTTTCAATATACCATAGCTTTCTTATTTTCGTAATTGATTATATTCATATATTTTGAATTAAATGACAAACTAAATATTGATATTGTTTTCCCCTTTTAATTTTGTGTCCTAATTCGTTATAATTGACCATTAGTAAACAATTTCTAACATAAGGTGTTAATTCATTCCCAAGTGTTTTCACTCCCATTTGCAACACGTTGAAATAATTGACAATTTCTTAGGCTGTCACGTAATCCCGCCGAATTAAAGCATGCTCCTGAATTCAGGCGAACGAGTCACCGAGCGGACCCTTCCAATGTTATTTTGATTTCTGTCCGACCCTACTTCAGGAAATAATAGTCAATCACCCGAGAATATTTTATGCAAACGTTGATATTATCAATTACATAATTGATAAATATTCAAAACACAACAGTGTCCTACCTGCACTTTGGAAAACTGGACGATGCGGTGAAAGTCTAGCATGTTTTAGGATAGCGTACGCAGAAAAAAAAACTTCGTCACCACTGTATGCACCAAGCCAAAACCACGTTTTCAATTGGCGCATTGCGACAAAGCTGTTCCTTTGCGTACGCTATTCTGAAACTTGCTATTAGTGTACGCTCTGTGTTACATTATGCTCTGCTCAGATAAGATCATGCATACAAGTTCAGACAATTTTTTTGTTAATTTATTTATATATTACTGCTCAGCATGTGTAGAAAACGTCATTAAAAAGAGTTTGTGGAAAACACAATATTTAAAGATAACACAAACTTTGAGTGCACCAAAGCGGCATATTCGATCTCTGAAGTTTTCATTTGTGTTTTATTTGGTAACACCTACTATGCAAACTAGAAATATAAACAAAAAACTCAAATATTTCGCACTTCTAATCGATCATGAGAACTATAAATTTAAATATGTACATCATTGTAAAGATTTTATATTTTGAGTCAAAAATGCGCAAACATGTCTCCTTTGACGCTTTATCACTAGATTTATACGCCGTTATCTAAACAATGATATAGTTACAACATTAAAACTTATTTAATATATTCTGATCGAAACGTTCTCTCGAATTGTATATTGCTTTATCTCAAAAACTTAAATTTTTATGTCGCTCTAAACTTGTTTTTAATCACAAAGTTCAAACTATTCAAGGGTCAATGAAAGAAACATTTTGAATTTTCTTGAAACTTATAGTGATAGTTTTCCACCATACTCCTGTGTTTATTAAAAAAAAAGAAAACATGTTGCATCACTTTGTTGCTACGCCGGCTTTTTTGCCAAATACCACATGAGATTATCTTTCGATTCCGTGTATTTCTTCTATTGTACATATTTTTGTGTTGTGTTCGGGTATTGGGCTCAGGTTCAAGTCTTTTATAAATAAAACAATATCTATGTTCCCTTTCCTTTTATTAATGTAACCAATACGCTTGTTTTACCTTTTAAAATCACAAGTTTTATGAGCTCTAGCTGAGCGTTTTCCACGAAAACGGGACGAAAGCAAATGTTATCGCTACTACAACATATGTTTACAGAAATTAGTAGAAAGGAAGTACAACGGTGAAAATTATATGCGAATATTTATAGTACATATATACACGTTGAAATGGGAATCTTTGAGCCCAAGCTTGTTACACTGCTATTCAAGAGGGCTGTACGTCCGGCTGACCAAGCTAAACTTGCGACTTCATTGACAGGCTTTCAGTGAGACGTCTGTCAGGATTAAAAATATTTGTATTTATCTATTTTAGTGAAATTGAAAGAAAAAAATAATGAGTTAAGATATCGAGCGCTCTAGTTGCCTGCGTTGACAAAAGGATTTCTCGGGGAGTCCGTCTTTTCTCCCTCTTTAAACCAGAATGACGAATTCCACGAAGCACCCATATGTGCTTCAAAAATTTTAGCGAGTGCGAGAAAGTCGGCACCTCCGAATGTAGCAAAATACTCCGAACTGGAGGATTTCGCCCGATCCTCTTGGGAGAATTGACATCCAGATCTTGTACAATGCGATAATTTATCTGCTTTGACATTTTATGTTTGTGTTTCCTAAGATAGCACAGAATACACTACAGACGCTGTAAGCCGCTGCCATGGCTGAAGACGTTCTCTCAGGACACACCTAAGCGGGACTGGCAACCACTTCATAGGTTTATGATCACAGCGTGCGTGTTGTCTTGTCTGACGATCACGAGATTCCGCGACCTCTCGAGAGCATAAAAGGAGAGAAAGAAGGAAAGATAATGCGTTATTAGCTTATCTATGAAGGAACCCAGAGAGCAAGTCTAACCATGTGGCAATCAGTACCTCCAAAAAGAAAATCGCACCAGGAGAAAACAGGCGATGACAATGTGTGCCCTACAGCCCATTTCGTCTCTGGTAATGCTCCCCTTCAGGTTCAGGAGGGGGAAAACCGACAGTTTGCCTATGTGAACTGCCACCTTTCTAACCTTGCGCTAATTAGGTTGGTGACGCTAGTATTGCGCGCGTCGGTTTTAAGGCTCGCGGCCTTTCGCTTTTAAAGCCTCCGCTGGCTCCCGCGGACGATAGTATATTGACGAAAGTGTTAATTAGCAGAGGTGCGCCCGCCAGTCACAGCGATAGCACGTCTCTCTGAAAACTGCGTGCACGAGGAGACAGGGCTATAACGAATGCTTTTGAAACCGTATGCCTCCAAAATTGTTTTCACGGGTGGTGGTGGTGTGGTTCGTAAAGCCTAGCGGCGTTGCTTTGCTTTTCGACCCATCACGTCGAACGATGCAAGGCGAGAAAACAGCTTTCGCATCGGCAGAAGGCCATCCTTTAAATACACCGACAACGTGATTATCCACTGTATTGCCGGGATAAACTCAGCCCTGTTTTGTGTGCTGCTTCAAGAAGAGCTCGCTGCCACGTGCCTAATCTAAGTCAATCAGAGAGCCGGATGTGGACATGCTCCACAAAAGGCTTACAAAATCTCCTCCCAGAACGCTGGGCCCGTGACACAGTGACGATTCGTTCATGCATTCGCTCGTTTCCACACTCGGAGTGCTTAGTGGAATTCGTCAGTCTGGTTTAAAGACAGTGCAAATATATATATATATATATATATATATATATATATATATATATAGAATAAAGAGCCACTTTAAAAACCTAACTCCTTTATATATATATATATATATATATATATATATATATATATATATATATATATATATATATATATATATATAAAAGGAGTTTTAACGGTCGCCTGAGTAAATGTATGCCAGTAAAGTAACAGGTTTATCTTTGTCAGCAGAACTTACTACCGTCATGAATAGCAGTTTAACAACCTTGGTAGCTCAGACATTCCCACTTTACTGCGAATATAGTTATAAATATTTGCATATATTCTGTACCACTGTTAATCTTCTACTTGTTTCTGAAACAAATTATTAGCAGCGATTACAAGTTGAAAAAAGTCGGCTAAAGCTCCAAGAACTTGTAATTTTAAAGGGCAAAACAGGCTTTTTGGTTAAATAAATGCAAAAGACGATTAACGCAGGCATCGTTTTAATTAGAATAACTACTTTAAACTTGAGCCCAATACACTAATGTTGGACTAAGAAAAATATCTAGTAGTAAAATACACGAAATCAGAAGATATTCTTGTCTCTGCCATTGGCTAACATTCCGGCGGGGAAGGTACACTTTGTAGGACTGCAGCTTCGACGGAAACAAAATGATGCAAACAGGTTCTTTACGAATGAAGTGAAGAGTATGCTGTGAAAACTATCACTACAAATTTTTACAAAATCGAAGATAGTTTTCTTTTATTTGCTTCTTGAAGTTGCTTAACTGTGTGCTTTAATATAAATTTGGATCGTCACAAAAATTTAGGTTTCTTAGAAAACGCAATGATTTATACACCCCTGCAAAGAACATTCTAATAGGAATATGTGATATAAATTATATTTCTATTTATTTATTTTTTAAATAATGGCTCAAAATTAAGTGACAAAACGTCAAATGAGCCATGTTTGCGCATTTCTAACCGAGCCATATAACAATCGCAATGCTGCACTTATTTAAATCAATATTTCCCATGATCTGTTATGAGCGCCAAATTTTTGAATTTTTTTTATATCTTAGTTTTAGTAGGTATCATCAACCATGACATAAACGAAAACTTCAAAAAATTAAATATGCCATTCTGCGCACTCCCCTCCCCCAAACAATTTTCCTGCCTTCGAATATTGTCTTATATATATATCTATATATATATATATATATATATATATATATATATATATATATATATATATATATATATATATATATGTGTGTGTGTGTTTCCTACAGATGTTGAGGAGCAAATGTAAAAAAATTACAAAACAGTAAACATGCCTGTACTCGATTGCATTATGCTATCTGAACAGAGCCACTAGCATTAACTGAAAATGTAGGTCGAAATGCTCAAGGTGGACTTGTTTAAAGCATTCGTAAGCCAGCTTACCTTGTAGCTAGTCGAACGGATTTGTCAGACGAGGTGTTTGAGGGGCCAAGAACGCTAACAATCTCCCCAGGGAGTGACTGCCTCCTTATCTTTGACTATAAGTGACCCGCGCACCGTGCAGCAAAACGTTTTAACCCAAGGTAGGAAAATCCTTCTCGCCCGCCCTTTCCATTTCTTCTCTCCCAATGCTATCTTGACTGCGGGGAGACTTTTTCTGTTGATATTTGTTGGGGCTAGACAAGGCTGGATAAGCTCCTGGCGTATCTAACCCCAAGATGCAGTAACAAAATAAGTCCCCCGCTTATTTGGTAAATAGGCCTTCAAGACGGGCTGCTAGGAGCGACCGCTTCAATGCCGCCCCCCCCCCCCCCCCCAAAGTGGGTAGATCAAGGGAGAGCAGATGCAGAAGAAACACAGAAATCTCGAATGTTCTAGGATATGCAGATGGTGTTTTGCTCGGTACTTTCTCATGCGACCTCCACCTGCAACCAGGACTGGCTTGCTAGAAACAGCGCCTCAGCTTAGACAGGGAAAACGAAAGCACTGCCAAAGCCAGCGCACGGGCTGGGCGAGACTCCAACCGCATCTTAAGACGCTCGCGCACACCAGCCTTTGCAGTGCTTTCTTTTACCCAGCGTCAGCTGAGACGCTGTTAAAAAAAGCCGACCCAGGTTTCCATTCAAATTTTCGGAACGTACCTCAATCCATATATCAAAACTTGGTAGAGGAACACGAATACGAGTATGTGAAGGGTACTAAAATATACTTCAGAAACGGTTGGCGCGACGTACTCGTCCATTATAGACACTTCAGTTGTCGAGCACCTGGCTGATGTGGCAGCTAGACGTGACGTCCAAGCAGGATTACATCCGTTCCAATATGTCAACCGCAACAGTGTCAATCACCGGTAATTTTAAGTTCTTCTCGGCGGCTACCGTAGCATAGTGTGTACAGAGCAAGATGGTGTTGTCCCCATGTTCGTTATTGCTCCAGAAAACACTCTCAAAAAGTTGTTATACACAGGAGCTCCAAAAGTGGGAGGGGTGGCAAGGTGGGCTTGAGCCAGTGTTGTAGACGGGGGGGGGGGGGAGATGGGGAAGGGGATGAAGCCTAGCTTATGGTGCTCAAGCGCCCTCCCTCGCCGAAATTCAGCCGACCCAATAATTCGCACATGCATTACGCCCCCCCCCCCCCCCCTTCGCACCCCAAGTCATGGACTTCCCAGACATTTCAGCCCCCTTTCACGGAAAATACGGGGGAGGAGGAGAAGGAGTGGGAGATAAAGGAGAGGAGGACGGGTTCCTATCTCTCCGTACTTTTCCCTCCTCCTCCTCAAAGCTGCGCTCTAATTCGATGTTACAAGAAATTGTAAACATCCTTCATTTTTTGATGGCATACTGTTCGTTGGGTCCATAAAAATATCCAGTTCTAGATTGCAAGACGTCCTAGTAACCTTACAACAATAAAAATGCACCGGCACTATTTTCTCTTGAAAAGGGGGGGGGGGGCGCTCTTCGGGTCCCCACCGCCTCCATAAAATATTCTCAAGTACTGAAGTTTCCTTGGTCACTGAAGAAGGACATCGTAGGCGAAACATTGGTCATGACTACTGCGTCAGCGGTTCGGCTGGGAGTTGTGTCCAATCAATGAGGACACGACTCCTGGCCCAAAGCTGACGCCGTAGCAGTGTTCAATCTGCAGCCTGCTGTGGCCTTCTTTAGTGAGGCAGGAAAGCACTTGCGTTCTTATCTAGGATGTATTGGGCTTGGGGAAGTTTCTCTTGCACCTTGATAACAGCATCACGCGCCGAGTCTCGTGAATCTTATTATCTCCCCGTAGCCAATCAGGTGGCGGCGTTAGCCGACTAGTACGCCGAAGAACCAATCCCAAAGCAAGAGGCGTGACCGTAAGAAGCCATGCCCTCAGTTTCTTAAAGTGTCGGTGACCCCGATTTAATTTTATTTAAAGTTATTTAACGTTGAGTAAATTTGTTGCTTATTGCTTTTTTATCTTAGCACTAGCGAGGGAATGCACGATGTTTTTTTCTCCGTGATACTCCGAATACGCAGCATAATTGTGAAGGCCCGTTCACACACACACCGCAGCGCTAAATCAACATAAGGAACAGCGCTGCATGCAGCGCTCACTTCAAAGCAACTTAGCGCTGAAGCGGTGCTCTGTCAGTGCTGTTTCGCAGCTAAAGGGGAAGCCAGCGCCGTATCAGCAAGGTCAGATCTATTTCCAGCGCAGTCTAATAGCGCTCAGAAATCGCTGTGCGGTGTGGGGGAACGGGTTTTTAAGCGAGAGACGGACGACTTCCCGATCTGTAGCCGCGTATTGCTGCAACGTGAAACAGTCTCCTCCAGGAATACATTCTTTTAGAGCGCAGCTCTTAGGGGCCCGTTTCCGGCTTGAGCGGCGTCGCCGTCGGCGTCGGCGTAACCGCGCGGTGCATCATGGGAAATGTGTCATAATGCACCGCGCGAGCCCCCCACCGGGGTCACGTGACCTCGTGGGGGGCACGTGACCCCCCGAGGTCACGTGACCCCGGTGCATCATGGGAAATGTCCCATAATGCACCGCGCGAGCCCCCCACCGGGGTCACGTGACCTCGTGGGGGCACGTGACCCCCCGAGGTCACGTGACTCCCCGAAGTCACGTGACTCCCCTGACGTCACGTGACCCCCGCCGATGTCGCGTGACCCCCAATGACGTCATCGTCACTGATGACGTCACCGGTATCCACATCGTCATCGTCATCATCACTGATGACGTCACCGGCATCCACATCGTCATCATCACTGATGACGTCACCGGCATCGACATCGTCATCATCACTGATGACGTCACCGGCATCCGCATCGTCATCATCACTGATAACGTTACCGACATCCGCATCGTCATCGTCATCATCACTGATGACGTCATCAGTGACTTCACTGATGTCGTCACCGGCATCCACATCGTCAGCGTCATCGTCACTGATGACGTCACCGGCATCCGCATCGTCATCGTCATCATCACTGATGACGTCACCGGCATCCGCATCGTCATCGTCATCATCACTGATGACGTTACCGACATCCGTATCGTCATCGTCATCATCACTGATGACGTCATCAGCGACGTCACTGATGACGTCACCGACATTCGCATCGTCATCGTCATTATCACTGGTGAAGTCATCAGTGACGTCACTACCCGAAGGAAAAATCCATCAATGTAACCCTGTTTGGCAGTCAATGTTTTCTAGTGGACCGCTGAGTGTGACTAACTGTACGTCAAGCATGTCTGATTGGCCAACAAGTTACTCTGACCGACAGTCAAACTCCAGTCAGACTCTGCTTGTCGGCTTTCTGATGGTTTCCTGGTGGCAGTCGGCCGCCGCGAAATTCCATCAGGATGTCTTGGTGGCGATTCTGACTGTACATCGATTGTCTCTGACTGTACGTCAAAAAGCTTTGACGTGCAGACAGACGTACGGTCAAAGGACGTAAAGTTCGTTCGGACACCACTATTTCGTCAAATCTATGAATACGAAAAGTAATCTATGCACGAGAAAACGATTTCGGGACGTGAGCCCGTAAAACCGCTGACGTTAGATATTTGACACGCAACCGACCGACAACCTTGATCAGAAGCCCGCCGAAGCGCCGAAAACGACACTTCGCTTCGCCCATAGAGGCTTCGCCGCTTCGCCGAGCTTTCATGAACGATCGCTCTCGACTCGTTTTGTTTGCCCGCTTGCTCCAACCTGTCGATCCTGCCTGGGTTTTACAATGACTTATGTTTTAGTAGAATTTCTACCCGACAAGACCCAGCCTGTTGTGAGTTCCGACGATGTAAGGGACTTTAGCAGTGTATTTGAAGACGACAAGGTGTACCAGGTCTTTATGGGCCGGTGACGCGCGAACAAAAGGATCGTTCTACGACGCGAAAGTACTCTACATGGCAGGTGAGTAGAACTGAAGTACGGCGAGTGATGTACGGGTGCTTTGCATAACATGCTGACGGCTTAACTGCCTTTTCAGCCGAAGCATCTCATATAAAACGATTAGTGAAATCGTGTTTCAAAGACTGTTCCATAGCGTAGCAATTAAGGTGTGCGAATTGTACGCAAGTGGTCGCGGGTTCGAATCCGCGATTGTCCTGCTTTTTTTTTCTTTTTTTTTTCTCGAACATTTTGTTTTATCGAGGCATTTGGCGATATTTATGAGTGCATATAGCTTTACTCTTATATAAATGATGCCCTTGTTGATGAAATTACCTTGGCAGTGGCAGTCAGACGTCATCTGATGGACCATCAGATGACGTCTGATGGTCCATCACGTTCCACCAAGGCTGCTGACTGGCAGCCAGTGTCCCAAATTACGTACCTTGATGGAATTTTCAATAGGGTAATGACGTCATCGGTACCCGCATCGTCATCGTCACTGATGACGTCATCAGTGACGTCAGTGATGACATCATCGGCATTGGGGGTCACGTGACCCCCAAGGTCACGTGACCCCTAAGGTCACGTGACCCCCCCTGGTTAGTTTAACCCCCCCCCCCAGTGCCCTTCCCTCCTCCTCCTCAAGAGCTGCGCTCTAATTCGGCGTTACAGGGAGTTGTAAGCAGCTTTCACTTTTTTGCTCCTTTCTTTCTAGATTACCCCGCAGTGCCCGAGGACGTTATAGCAAAAGAGCTACAAGGCTAAAACAAAACATGTCGTCGACATAACACATTTGCACTTCCGACCACCGAATTTACTGTGCAATAGTTCTAACGAAAATGGAATTGTATTGAGCTAGCAAGTTACGCAATTATCTTCTCAGTTTTAGCTACGCTTGGTCATTAGTGTGGTTTAAACGTGCATCAAAGCGTTCCTTGTTTCGTCGCGTCAAAAATTGTACTAAACAAAGGTTCAGTGTCGCCATCTACCCCAGATCAACGCCCTCTCCGCCAATTACGGTTTCACTTTAAGGTATTACTTAGTGTCATTGACCTTCTTTTTACAGCGAAGCTGTTATGCGCTAGGTTGCCGCAAATTTGTCGTATACAGCTTCGTGGTCCTCTATCTTCACGTGAAATAAATGCGCTTTGTAATTTTAGAGCGCAGCTCTTAGGCGCCCGTTTCCGGCTTGAGCGGTGTCGCCGTCGCCGTCGGCGTAATCGTAAGGTCACGTGACTCCCCCAGGTCACGTGACTCCCCCTGGTCACGCGACACCCCCAGGTCACGT